GGCAGGCCCCATTTAAATTTCTTCAGAAATTTTCTAGTTACATCTTAATCATGTCCCTGGTCTAAAAACCAGTGTGATTTGTTTTCATACAGCTAATGGCTGTGTTTTCTGCATTTTAAATGTCTTTTCTGAAAATTGAAACTAAAATGTCAAAATAAAAATATGTGACTAAAACCAATTTTATTGTCTTTGAAGTCTCATATTTATTTTATATGTTTCACACCTCATTTTGTTCTAGTCAGATATGAGATGCAATTAAAAAAAATAGCGTTTGTTCCTTTTTGGCATAAAACGTGTTTGAATTTACTATGTCATGTTCAACATGTTTTTCATGTTTGTCTTTCTTAGACCTTTCTGAAACTCTGCAGAAAACCTTAAACATATGAAAATGAATAGAAGAAGAAGTGTAAAGCAGTAGTCACAAGAGGAGGAAGAAGTCCAACTACCAGGTTCATTACCTATGGAAGTGGGTGTAAAGTGTGACATTGTGGGCATGAGGATAAGGGACGGACCTTCTCCTCCCAGAATTCCCTCCGCGTATTAGGATATAGGAGTTAAAGAGCTTCTAATGGGATCTGGATGCTGTCGTGTTTACCATGGCCCCCCTTTGCACGCCCACTGCATTGTGGAAGTTTCTGGGCTTAGGGATGCCACAAAGGGCTGAGTGAAGGGACAGATGGAGGTCTCTTTGGAAGAAGGAACAGAAAAAACACAGGCAAGGTAGGAGGGTCAGGGTGTCTGAGAAAGCAGGCAGTCAGAATGCCCAACTGCAGACGTGGGTGAACATTAATGGTGAAGGAGGGTGAGGGGGGAAACTTAATCAGGACTTTAGTTGTATTTTTGAATGCAGTTCAGCTCAAGTTGTCTGAATTATTGGTCTACCCCCCTTTATAGTCGTGGCTTATGTGTGTCACATTACCTTTGTATATTTAAAATGGGTTGGCTTGCTGTTCACGGTTGCACTTAATTGAACAAATTCGAGGAGCAAAAATAATTTGGGGGAGAATTTACCACTAGATACAGAGTTGTTTGCATATTCACTGATATAATTTATCCTCAAATTCTGATGTGAATCGGTTTTCACAATGGTCCTCGAGACATTAAAATGTTAATGTTATTTGTTAATGTATACAGGGGTCAGGGGCAGGGGGCTGATGGATGCTGATGAGGATTGTGGACAAGAGCTGGAGGAGGGTCGAGGGAGGTCCGAGTGGCAGAAGCAACAGATGGGGCCTGATGCAAAGCTCGGCATGTGAAGTTTCTGTTGGTAACATCTGTCTGTCCATCTGTTACATTTTGTTGTTTACAGTTTGTGCTGCTGAAACTTGGTAATTAGGAATCTGCACTTGAGGTTCTCAATGCAATCCTTTCCACAGTGAGTTTTAGAATAGAGAATGGCAAAAATGTGTGTGTCCTCCAGTTAATTTGATAAGTTTGAAGTTACTGAAGCTAATTTCAGCACATCGGCTCAGCTCAACGGTACTTGGAAGGGATTTAGGTATCATTTTACAGCTAACACATTACCTGCAAGCCAAGCACCTTGGCCTTTGCTTCAAATAAGTATGACTCAAAATTGAAGTGGATTTCAAAATAATACAAGAACCTCAGAGTCAAGACTGAAGCAGACAATAACATTACACAAAATTATTTGCTAATCTTTGTATTCAATAAGTGTCCTAATTACTCTTAGCAAAAAAAACCCAACTAGTTTTAAAGTATTTTTCTGTGAGGACAGATAAACGGATTGACAAAGTGAAGCCGTTTACAATGGAATCAAAAGTGTACACAGAGTAAGAATTCCTAGTTTGCACAATATATAGGTCACTGATAAATGGAGAAATAATACAGAAAAGACAGAAAAAAATAGATCTCGAGCCAAATATAATTAAAAGAAAAGACAGGATCTTAGAGAGACTGCAATGAGCTTAAACAGCATCATCAGAGGAGTTGCAGGAGGGCACTGTCCAATGTTTTTGAATATCTCATGTTTTACATGAATGCTGGACTAAAAGTTTCCCAAATCTCTCAGAAGATATGAGAAACTTCTGCAAGATAGAGATGGCAAAATGCTACCAACTCGTCAGATACTGGCAAACTCTCACTAAATAAAATTGAATACTGAATTTAAGATGTTTCTTCAAGTATTATTTTCTCTTTTTTGGACTAATTTTGACTCTAGGGAGCCTTCCTATTCAGTTTTTCCACAATTGGAATTCAGTGCATTCCCTCACCACTTTTCTTAAAAAGTGTCGTCACTATATGGTAGCACTTGGGAAACAGCATTTACCGAGTTGGTGCTTGATATAAAACCACTGTCTTATTTATTTATATATATATATATATATATATATATATATATATATATATATATAAGCCCTAGGGCTTGTTCCTATTAAAGAAACAGGTGGGAACCATTCCCATAGATAGGCACATCCATCACATTTGTGCTTCTCTGTAATCTTTGTTCTTTTACTGGAGAACACAAAAGGCATGGACTGACACTACATTCATCAGAGCATAAGCCCCTGATGAAGCTTACTTATATGCATTCTTCCCTTTTGGAAACCACACACCAACAGTTTGAAGGTTTTAGAATAACTGCCGCTTTCAATCTGCAAAGTCAAACTTTGACATAAAAAAAAAAAAAAATGCTGAAAAAAAGTGTTTCACAACAGAATTAGGAAGATTCCTGAGTCCAGTGCATCAGTTTCATTAGAACTGTTACATCACCCAGGGGGTATTTTACTTTTTGTCTAAAAATACTCTTCAATTTGCTCTGCTGTGAGCGGATCAAGGAGAATTAAGCAGCCAATCTGGGCTCAGTGGCCAGAGTGTTACACTAGACATTAATCCAAAACAGTGGAAGGTTGGAGAAGGAAAGACAAATTTAATCCAGAACCTCCATCCATTACATTCATTTGCAAACTCCAGAGCGAAAGGTGGTACTTTGTGCAAGTGCAGTCCAGGATTTGTTGCACAAACAGCTTTCCTGCAATTTCCCTTGGCAACGGAAACATTCTCCAGTACTTCTCCCACCCGGGTCTCCCTCACAGGGCAAGATAAGTGTCCTGGCAAGGCCTCTTAGTGTGCACTGTCCCCCAATATGTAACAGATGTTACTGGGGCAACAGTTGGTATTGGAAAGGAGGGGCTTCAGGCCATCTGTCCAGGGTCAAGGTTTGAAAGGATGTGGTAGAGATGGTGGTGTGTTCAGGAAAATGGTAAGTATTTGAGGGAAACGGGGGAATATAGCCCACATTGTACTCCTCCTCAATGTAGGCTTTCATATCAGATGACACTTGTGAGGTTTCCTATGGAGAATTCTGTGAAGCACTGTTAGACACTGATTTCATACTTAAAGCTCAAAGCCCCCACCATGTGGTCAGAGACAGTACTGCAAATGGAAACTTTATTAGTTGAAATGCATTTTCATAAGAACACTTTTTTTTCAGCATTTATACTTTATATTTATGACTAAAACCTATTATAATGTCTCCAGCTGAGATTTTAGGCGATCAAGCACTTTATCCATGTCGTCACGCAAGTACGCCATCATCTTATGAGAAATCTTCCTCTGAAGAGAAGGAAAAACCATTCATTTTCATATTCATAACCAAAAACTGCAGAAGTAACTGTCAAAGCATATTCCATTTACAGCCTCTTACAATGTAGAGCTTCAGCCTTTCACCTTCCATTTGACAGTATTCAGACACGGTCAGCTCAGTGAAGTCTGCTTTCTTCATGGATAGGAATCCACAAGCGGGTGAGCGTTTGGTGTGCTCAAACCTGACAAGAAAAACAATGTCTTAGAACAATGTGTCGATTGTTAAAGAATAGCTTCAAAAGAGACCGACAGAAAGTTTGTTTTGTTTCACAAGTTCTCTCTTCTTTGTTGCTGGATGATTTTGTCAGGTAGTTAAATGGTATACAGTTAAATCAATTAAATATCTGCATTCAGTTTGGTTGATTTTGACCCAAAATCCCCTGCTGTTCATCCCCAACTTACTTCCTCACCATTCTTCTCCAGGAGCCAAGTTGCTCATTCATTATTCCAGTGTTTTCAGGCCAAGATGCAAGTAAACCAACCCTCTTTAAGAAGTGACCTCCCAAATATTTTGAGGTCACTTTGCTTTAACATAACCATCACATTTTGTAACTGAAGAGTCATTTTCCCCAGCTGTCTTGAATATTCTGAAAGGGGCTTCATCTGAGAAGATGACTTTACCTCCGTTTTCTGCCATCCAATCATGACTAATGCTTCCTGCTCTGTTCTTCCATAGAAAAGAGTTCATTTTTAGATGGGTTGAAACAAAAGAGCAATAAGTTTTAGTGCTTGATTAAATTTTCATAAGTTTACATCCATTTGGAACATTTCATGTGATCACTCATCTAAAACTAAGTTACAGAACCACAGCAATTAAGTTTATGTAAAAGACAAGAGCTCTGTCACTCTTATCTTCTGCAGCCAGGATTGTAGATTTATAAGACTGCAGGATGATGTACTTCCTCCTCACCATGGATCATCATCAGGTTCCCAGCCCTCGAGTTCGATCAGACAGAAGAAACAGCAGGCGACGTCTGGTTCATTGTCACTGGGGCAGTGGACAAAACCAGCTTTAGCCATCTGAACAAAAAAAAAAAGAACAAAAAAAAAAGGCTGAAATCATACTTCAAACAACATTAAGAAAAAAACTAAAATAAATAAGAGGTGCATCCGGATTAGTTTTTATGGGGATAAAGCAATAATTCCCCTTTGAACCAGTGAGGTTGCATGACAGAACATTACTCATGAAGTCAAGTGTCGGCAGCTCATCAATCATGCTATGAGCCGGGTGGGCGAAGGGAAGCGTCTGAAACTTGCACCTGCTGAGCTATAAATCAGTTGCTGTAAATGACTTGGATCAAAGGACATAATCATATTATTGGATTTGGCAGGATTTTTTTTTCTTAAATCCAACCTCCAATACACAGCCTAGAAGTTGTGTACTGGAAATGAACACAACTTCCAGGTTAAATGTTTTTTTTTTTTAATTTTTTTATTTCATAGTTCAACATTTTAAGGCATCTGTAATTATTTTCCACCCAAAGTCAGTGGGTGGAGTAAACACTGATTGGTTTGCAGTTGAGTTGATGTCAACTAAACTTTTGCAACCCGTCTAATGATCCTTTCATGAAATTGTGAATTAAACTATTGACAAGATAACTGTATACATTTTCCATCTGATGAATTCACTAAAATGTTATTTAATCACATGAGTATTTTCTAAACTTTTTAATTGTCCCAAGTGGTAAGGGATTAAACCACTGATCATCTGTGTTGCATGAGCAAAATTTACTACGTCTATTGAACATCTAAAAGTACCAACAGTAACTGCTTTTGCTAATATTTTGCTAAGTAAATTTCCATTTGTAAGTGTGACATGGTCCCCTTGTAGTAATCATCAAACTCTGTTTTTTTTCCATTCTTAGATAAATACAAAGAGCTACCAACTAATATTTCCAATATTATTGGGTTTTTTTTTTATAAGGATTAAGACATCCCATCCAGATCAGTCTGAAAAAACCAAGACCTTCCTACCTTTTCAGGTGTGCAGTTGCATTCCTCTCTAAACGGCCAGTCTCTAAAACTCTGCTCCCGCAGATCATGGCTGTACATTTTGTCAAACGTCATATACCTGGTCGTCAGCACATCTACACTTTCCATTATTCCAGCAGTACAAGGCTCAGTCCAACATAGAATTAACTCCCAAAGTAAGGAGTATTGTGTAGATCTTGCTCAAGCTGCCCTCCACAGCTCCACAGATGTTTTCAATTTTGGCCTCAATGAGAGCAGAGAAAACAAGATTCACTCTGCTTCTTAGGCCTTAATGCTTGTAAAGTTTTTGTGTATATATGTCCTTAACATTTGTGACATATATACATTTGAGCTTGACAAATAAAAGATGCCGTTTCAGTTCACTTTTGTATGTTTTGGGAGAAATGTGTGTGTGTCTGAACAATTGATTTATTAGTTACTTCATCCCACCTGCATGGAATTCAAAGAGCTGAGTTGTTAATACATTGGGCCACTTCTAAAGGCAGTTGGTTACAGTCAACAAGACTAAAAACAAATAAGATCTTTTTTTTTAGCTTTTCATTTGCAAAGACATGGATTATAGACATGGATGCTTCTTTTTCCACTTCACAATATATCACAATACATTGAAGTTTGTGGTACCAGCGTGACGTAAAAAAGATCTATGGGGTATGAATGCTTTTGCAAAGGACTTTATACTTTCTGAAATGGACTTGTCAGGCATGAGCTGCAATTTCCAAATGCTGCTAAAACAACTGCAGGATAAATATTTACACAAAATCCAAACAGCGAGTCATTCAACTGTTTTCAGTGTAAGCTTTTACAAGCCTGTTTATTGCTGTGAGAAATGGTGATGACCCGTTCTGCAGCGAGTCTCTGTAACACGACCCATTAGACCTCTGAGTGCTGAAATGTGCTTACAGCTGTGCAACGGTGTCCTATCCACCGCCTCGCCTCCCAGACTGCAGAGGAGCCGAGACACAGCATGGCTGCAGCATAAGGAACAGGGTTGGTGGTTTAATGCCTTCCTTTACTCTCACAGGTGATGCTGTGTAGGGCTGAGCTGAGCAGCCGGTTTAGAGTTTGGTCGTCAGGTCAGAGGCCTCCCTGCGTTTTGGACCTCGTGGAAGGTAGCGCTCACCTATGAATTCCTGCATCTCTGTGTCACGGCATTTTTCCATAGGTCTCTCCGTGTTATTCTTGTTTTTCGAACTTTGTGTGAGGCAAACATGTTTATGAGATCTAAGATTTTTGAACCTCTAGACTTGCTTTCATTTTGTCCTTCATGTGATGAAAAAAAGGTGATTTTTACAACATTCGAACTGCTAGAGATTCTGTCACAGATCATACCTGCGCAGTTTTCTATTTATCTCCTCACGATTTTCTTTCTCGTTCCCTCACAGACGTTTGATATCCGGTCCTTGGAGCCTCCCTGCTTCTGCATTAAACAATCTTCTGACATAACTGCCCTCACCTATTAAGGTCTACTAAGATAAGCTGCTGGAATCTCCTGCACAGGGTTTGTTTTCACACAGAGTCGACACTGAGGGGGAGGGAGAGAATGAAGGGAGGAGGTACGATGCAGAGAGGTGGATGGGAGGTGACAGAAGCTATGTGTATGCCGTCTCTACGTCCACATGTCCCCTTGGACAGCCATCATACCTGCCGTTTGCATGTGCCGATCTGGAAACCTTTAATATCCATGAGGACTTGAGCTTTCTTCTTTCGTTTGTAGAGGCCCACACAGTTTTGCTGGTGGGCAGGGATTTATAAACGTTCACCAGCTTTTCCTTGCAAGGACTGGACATTTGATTAAGTCACAGAGGACCGGGGGATCAAAGGTGTAGCCAATGTGGAGCACAGGTAAGAGATGAACTCCGTCAGCTTCCAGTGCTTGTGTGTGTGTCTCCATTACAATTCACATTTTTTTTTCTCTCTGAGGAGTTTTCTTTACTTAAAAAAAAAAAAAATCAAGTTTTGAACGGCAAAATCTTTTCGACGGGGCAAAAATTCTCCTGTTCAGACAGGACTCAGAACATTTTGTGTTGACAAGATAATATGCCTGAAGTCCTGGCCATATTATTGGCACACCTGGTAAATATGTGTTGAAAGGACTGAAGAGAATTAATCTTTTAATGAAAGAGCAGACACACTAGTATAATTGTTTGTTTTTTTTCAAAATTGTGCTTCCCAGAAGCACTTGATTTTGATTTGCCACTGATAACACCTCTAGACTGTAGCAGACATTTATTTTTCCATTGTGAGATCAGAGAAAATTTCTGAAGCTAACTGGAAGAATTACCAAGTTTCCATAATAAGCATAAGAAGCATACCAGAAAAAAAAAAAAAAAAAAAACCTTCTACCCTCACAAATATAAATCTGTGGGGGCACTTTGATTGGTCTGACAAGACAAAGATTGGACTTTTGTGAATAAAAGCTCCAGATGGGAGTGAATGAAAATAAATAATGAATATTTGGAAAAGTTCATCATGGTCATTGTTAGGTAAGGTGTTGGATCTGTGATGCTTTGGGCCTGTATGTCTGAAAAAGGCCTCTGCAATCTTTCTAAAGTGCACAGCTTCATAAACTCCTTAACTTATCAGAGCATTTTAAATAATAATCTCATAGCATCTGTGAGAAAACTAAAAGGTTTCAATAACAGGATCCAAATCAGCTAGCCAAATGAAGATGAAAATGTGAAAACAAACACAGAATCAAGCTTTTTCCATGGTCAGGTCAGTTTTCAGCCCGAGATTCTTTCAAAGAGCTGAAGGGTGAGGTGAGGAGAAAAATAAAGAAATGGATCTCTGAGTGGCCTAGAGAAGCTTAGAAAGAGAAATGTCGTTGCTGTTCGGTCAAATGCTGAAATGCGATAGAAGACTAAGTGCAGCCCAAATAGCAAAAGGGGGTTGTATTAATGTTAGGGTTTAAATAACTGTGCCATCAGTGATTTTGAAAAGTACCAGCATGCTGAGTCAGTCTCATTCATCTATATTATAGCTTTAACTAATATTTTGTTTTCTAATCACATAGAATTAACTAATGTGTGGTCTGAGGAAAGTCTGAAAGAATACAGACTAAAGTATGACGCAAGGAAAATGCTGATTCTGGTTTTCACTCAGGTGAGGAATGTCAGAGCTTTAAAAATAGGTTGAGATTTGGAGAGCAAAAGAAATGCGTTCATTGTCTTCATAAATGCTCTCACAAACTAAAATAAAGCGTCACCTTAGAACATAAATGTTACATTTACTTTAGCTAACTTTCCATGAGTTGCAATCAAAAATGTTTGAATTATATGAGCGATTTTGCACTAAATGTGTGATGTGAGTACGTCTAGAAAGAAGGACATGCTGTCCACCAGCGGTGGTGTAAAAATGTCAGGGGTGTGTGAGAATGTGACGGTCAACATCTACATTCTCCATCTCTGCAGGCAAGTGTGGATTCACAAGTCAGCCAAAACCTCCTGGGCTCACATATCAGCATATCCTGGGAAATCCCTAACTCTCCCTACCTGTCTTCATGACTTAAGGTTTACAGTGAGGAGAAATTTTATTCAAGAAAAATATAAATCCACTCAGACGAGCAATGAAACTAAGCTAATAAATGAAGGGATATAAATGAAGCATGTATGATGTATTAGAATCTTGGGTTTTTTGAGTTTGTTTTGGGTTTTGTTATTCATGATCTTCAGTTCTTATCTCTATTAATTCTGCTTTGTTTCTTCTTTTCACTCCAGTTCCTTGTTAGTGATTCTAATTATGCTTATTTGTTGTGTCTAGTCCTTTCTTAGCTGTTCTGGTTTATTTATGTTTCTTTGTTTTGTTATTTTTTTAGATTCATTTCCTTCCAATCAGTTTGCCAATCAGGTCTATTGTTCCAGCATTCACTCTCAGTATTTAATCACAACACTTTCATTCACTCCTGGCTCGTTACTCGTTGTGTTTTCTTGCTGGTATTTCCCCATGATCTATATTTTTGTTCTGCTCTGAATCCCTGTGTTCCCTGTGATTTTTCTAAGTTTTCAGTTTTATCATTAAAGGACATTCAGTATGATCCATACTTCCAGCTTCTGTTTGCATTTTGGTTCACCCTACGAACACTGCATGACAGGATGATTCTCCAAATTGCTGTGAATGTTCTCAGACCTGCAAACCTCAGAGAGTCAATATCCACTTCAGTACCATTCAACAATGCTGAACATGTTTGCACTGGGTAGATTTGAATTGTCAGATTTGTTCTTTGTAAATTGAGGAACATCATACCACTTTTTGCAGTGACAGATTTCTTTGTTGTCCAAATTTTCCTTTTTGAATCCCAACCAAGCAGTCACATCTTCAGCACCACAGTCATTTATTCCTGAGGAAAAGCTGAACACGGATGCAAACGTTCAACCTGCTGACTGTGTTTCCGGCACATTTCCACACCTGATCAATAGTCTAAATTTAGTGGGACGATTATCCCTCACTGTGGCAAACTGATATGTCTGTCAGACTTACAGATTCAAGCCAGTTCAAGGGGATTGGAGAGCTGCTTGTTTTCATGCAGAGCCGAGTTACATGTTGCTTGTTCAGCTGACCTTTGACCTTCATGGGCAACCTCTAAATTCATCACAGCAGTGCCAAGAGGCACCCAATGCATAATATATGGTCATAGTGCAGACTATGTGTCAGTGTACTATTTAAGAAGAGAAATGAACTGAGAAACATTTGTGGAAAGTCACAATCTTCGGATGTGTAGCTGCTGATATATGAGCAGAATCTATGTTGCGATTCCTCAGAGAATTCAATCTGCTGCGTGGAAGTAAGTTAAAACATGTCTTTTGACCTTTAGAGAATGTACATTTAGCCTGTTTCCTTGACAGGAGAGACTTAATATTATATATCTTGCCTTTATTGGAAGAGTTTGCACTTTTTCCTTCAAGTTTGACGTCTCTGTGAAAGACTCTTATATGTCGGCAAGGTAATTAAAAGTCTCCCACTCTACTGATAAAAAAGAATAAAAGTTTCAGTGAGGGTAGCAGGATCTGTTAACCCACAATGGCTCATTTGCAGAGTGACTTTTCCTGCTTATAAAGGTTTTCTGACTAGGGGGCATAACCAGTGTTTTCTCATTTCTGTTGTTCCCTGTTTCCCCTTAAGAGTGTCAGCTTGACTTTGTTTACATCCTGGGATCAGTCTCACTGCTCTGTGGGAATAATTTTAGGAATCTTGGACTTCTTGAGCATAGTATTTACTCCTGTGTTG